TGTTAAGAACTATTTACATTACATGTAATTTAGCTCACGCTTTCATTTAAACTGAATTACATACACTTTGGTAGACATGCCTTCGGGAGCAATTTGGGGGTGAGTGGTCATCGCCAAAGGAAAGTTCAATATGTTGACTGCACGGGGTGGCAATCTAACTGCTGACCCACCTATTGCTAGACATTTAATGATATGGGCCCCTTAGCCAGAACCACAAATTAGCATCTGGCTCAAACTTGTTCTATCTCTTGCCATCATAAAACCCTCTGGACACATCAGATTATTTATTGTGAAGACCTAATCAGGTTTTCTATTTTCAGTAATGCTTAAAGCTTTTGTGCTAATAATCAATTAATGTGTTTCTTTGGGTTAAGTATACGGCCCAAGTGGTCCAATTCAAGCAATTTGCATTTGTGAATAACACAAGGCAAAAAGCCCATTTATGAGATGTCCAACAGCCAATTATCAGTGCTGCTTCAGTCATGCCTAAAAATGTTGTGGTTATCCTTTTTATTTTTACTTTTGAGAAAAACATTGGTTATATAGCTTTACACAAACGCCTATTAAAGGTGGGGTAGGTAATTCACTTCAGAAACACTTTTTGTTATATTCCATGGAATGCTCTTAACATCCCGATAGCAATGAATACATTACATGCTTTGACAATAAATACATAAAAAAATGTCATCTGTGGAAGCCGTAGTAGTGTAAAAAGCACGACCAATTATTTTAGCCGGCCCGGCTAAAATAACTGGATGGCCTACCTGCATGTCAGCCTTCAATCTCGTGCACAAACTTATCTCGTGCCCTCATTGGTCATGTGCACGTGTGTGTGTGTTGGAGGAGGGGCTCTGTAAGGAAGTCTGAAGGAAAGGGCATATTTTTTTCGGCTGTGTACTTTCAAATTCTAGCGCACTCAAGCTGATTTCTCCATTCTCACCCACCCTACCTTTAAGTACAAAGTAATTCGAGTAGTAGAGCAGTATTTTTCGCTGACTTAAAATGTAATTTAGTAGAATTTCTTTATATTGGAAATGTCTTCGATAGTCTATCATATCCCTTTCTCTTTGATTCCTTCATTTTTCTTATTTAATAGCATGAGCAGTTTGCGGTATAGGTAAAAATGGGGGAACACCCATTCTCCTCCATTACCCATCTACTTCCTTGTATTTGTAGTTATCAAATAAATAGCATTGTTTATTATATTTACATGAAGGCAAAACTGTGTAGTATGCATGTCATATATTACTATAGAGAGAAAAGAGAATTGAGAAGCCTTGCCCACTTACAGGACCACTGGTTGTATCACCCTTCTTCCCCCCTTCTTTTGCTGTATTTGTTTTCTTTCTGTCTCTCTTATATCTCTTTATCTTCCCACAATGCTCTCTTTCTCTTTCACTGCTTCTCTGATCTCTCAATACGCAGACATGAAGATAATTCATAACTTGCAGAGTTTGATAAATGCTAAAAAAGGGAGATTTGGCTGAACAATGAGGCCTGGGCTTATTTAAGAGCCTATAAATGATGTGGAGGGCAACCTTTGAACTCTGCTGACCTTTGACAGCAAGTCAAGTTTTGGAGATTATTTTTCTCTGCTCTGCGGGTGAAAGACGATCGGACTGTGTGTGTGTGTGTGTGTGTGTGTGTGTGTGTGTGGGTGTAGGGGTGTGTGTGTGTGTGTGTGTGTGTGTGTGTGTGTGTGTGTGTGTGTGTGTGTGTGTGTGTGTGTGTGCGCCTGTGAGCCTAGGTACAAGTAATTCACAGCTGAGGACACACTCTCAGAGACTAGTGCAGTCTACGAAAAGGTGAAGCCTATTATTTATCAGCGTCATGAGGTTTCACCGCAGTAAAAATGTGCAGAGATAGAGACCACAGAAGAGAAATGGTACAAACCTGAAAAATGCTGTGTGTAGAAAACAGTAAAGCACTGATAGGATTTTCTTTAGATGTCTGTTGTTTATTCTTTTAATTGATGAGTGCAGACGGGAAAGGGGTAGCTAACTGATTTACAGTGATTAACCGTACACACATCCCATAGCTGATTCGGTTTAATAGTCATATAACTGTTACATTTTGTTTTTCTGTTTAAGGATTACAGAAAAACTTCTTATAAATACTCGCCCAATTTTCATGAAACTCCATTGAAGGATGTAGCATAAGCCA